GTGTGTGTGTGTGTGTGTGTGTGTGTGTGTGTGTGTGTGTGTAGATGCTGGGAATCAACTTCAGCTGTCTTCCTCAGTCATCCTACCTTGTTTTTTGAAACCAGGGCCGCTCACTGAACCCAGGCTCAGCAACTGGCTAGACTCACTGGCCAGTGGGCTCCCAGGACCCCAATGTCTGTAGCCCAGCACGAGGGCTACAGATGCATGCCTCCATAGCCAGCTTTTATGTGGGCACTGGGAGTCCAAATTCAGGTCCTCATGTTTGCATGGCAGGCACTCAATCAAGCGGGCCATCCTCCTGGCCAATATCCCTGTTTTGAAAATTCTTGGCTGCTGTCTCTTTATCCACCACTCCCGCATTGTCCTTCTGCTCTGTCGGGGCACCAATATCATGGTCCCAGACTTCCGCTGGGCCCATTCCTCTCTCAAGCCCTTTTCTGTATATTATTTTATTTAATGTGAATTGTGAATCCGTGCATGTGCTTACATAGGCATGTGGGGGTCAGAGGACAACCTTCAGAATCGGTTCTCTGCCACACGATGCTGGGGATGCATAGGGAGGGCTTTTTACCTGCTAAGACATCCCAGCATCCACCTTGTCTGCATCTTTGGAGTGACTTTGTCTTGCATACTGACTTACTGTTAGTGAACAAATTCTTTTATTTGCTCCTCTAGTCTACAATGCAATCTTTCTTCTTGAGTCTTAATTTCAGTTATATTTTTCAGTTTATTAATTTATTTAATTCACTTTTTTGTATGTCTTGTATTTTTCTAACAGTTTTATTGAGAGATAATTGACATATGCCAAATTTCAAATATTTAAATGTATAATTTGATTCATCATAATCAAGATGGTGAAAGTATCCATCATCCCCAGAAGATCCCTTATGTCTTTAGTGATCTATCTACTTATTCTCCCATCATCTCCAGGCAAGCACTGAATTATCATTATAGTAATCTGAATTTTCTGGAAACCAAATCACCTAGTATCACTTTTCATTTTGCTTCTTTCCATGGACATTGTTTGGGAAGTTGCTGTCTAGTTGTAGGTATCAATAGCTTTTTGGGCTTTTTTGTTTGTTTGTTTGTGTCTTTGTTTTCTAAACAGTCCTGGCTGTCCTGGAACACACTTTGTAGATCAGGCTGGCCTCGAACTCACAGAGGTCCGCCTGCCTCTGCCTCCCGAGTGCTGGGATTAAAGGCATGCGCCACCACCTCCCCGCTAGCTTGTTCTTATTGCTCATTAGTACCCTGTATTTACCTTTTGATGGAAATTAGAGTTACTATCTACTATCTTAGAACTATTTAAAAGAGTTGCTGTATATCCTCATGCAAGTCTATTTGTAGAACTATATCTTTGTGTCTCTTATACAAATGCTTAGATGAGAAGCAGGTGGGTCACATCATAGCTATTGTTTGAACCTAAGATATTCTCAGAAGTCTCAGACAGTAAAGTCTCCATTGCCAGCTTTGTGGACGTGAGTGCATCATAAGGGCTCTGACTTCATAGTTGTTAGATGGTCAGGCATAGTTGAAGGAAGTAGGTCACTGGGGAATACCACTCTGAAGGGTGTATCTTGTCCCTGGCCCCTTCCTCTGTTTCCTAGCTGTCATGAGGTGAGCAGTTTTCCTCCATCATGCCCCCCACATGATGCTAAGGCTCGCTACAGGTGTAAGAACAACACCTGGCCAGGATCAAGTCTCTGAAACTGGGAGCCAAAAGAACCTTTTCCTCTGTTAAGTTTCTCCTGTCAGGCATTTGGCCACAAAGACGCAAATGACTTACAGAGAATGTATTTCATCGTCTCATAAACTACCAAGCTGTTGTCCATCGTCAACCCTCACTGGTAGTGTGTGAGGGTCCCCTTTGCCCTGCATCTCTGCCAACAGTTGCTGTAGTCAGTCTTAACTGTTTCTCTATACGTGCAGCGGTAACTTGCTTGGATTTCATTCTCATTTTCCTTGGTGACGGGAAATAGTGAACTTCTTTTTATATCTGGAAAGGTGTTTATTCGGATGTTTTCTTCTCTCCCCCCCCCCCCTTTAAGAATGTGTCTGGTAGCATTCTAGGCACTGTATTTGACAAAGAGGCTGCGGGTGATACTATGTCCTGGTGTTACAGTGGCAGACACATGGAATATAGCCAGGTCGTCCTGGCCTAGTTAAGGACGGGCTTCAGGCTTTGGGCAGGCTGGCAGCTCCTTGCTGTGTGCTTACTCCTACACTGCAGTCCTTAGCTGGAAGCCAGTGCTAGTTAGAGATTTCTCTTTAAAAATTCCAGTGTGTGTGTGTGTGTGTGTGTGTGTGTTCACACGTGCTTGTACAGCCATGATGCCTCCATGGAGGTCAGAGGACGATCTGTGAGAATTTCCTTTTTCTCCTCACACTATGTGAGTCCTGGAGATCAAATTCAGGTTCCTGGGCTTGGTGGCAAGTTCACTGAGTGTCTCACCAACAGAGTTATCCTCGTTATCCTTGTGACAATATACTTGAGAAAGCAAGCATTTATTTTGGCTGGTGGATTCAGAGGTGTCCGTCCGTGGTCCCTTAGTTTTATCGTTTTGTGCCTAATGTGAGTCCAGTCATCTCAGCGATGGGAATGCAGTGGACAAAACACGGTGTTGACGGGAAATGGACGGGAAATGGAAAGACAGAAAACCCACTGTCAATCTTTCTTCTTTCCTCCACTTTATCCCATTTATGTCCCCAATCTACAGGATGGTGACACCTACATTTGTAGCAGGGGTTCTCCCTCAATTAATCCTTCCTGGAAATGCCTGACCCAGAGAACTGCTTCACCAATCTCCTGGGTGATTCTCAAGCCAGTCAGGTCGAAGGGCAAAATCAACCACCCCAAAGCCCAGGGGTTCCCGTCGTCTCTGCCCTGGTCTCTCATACCTTAGACGGCTGAAATGAGCCGGGTGTGAGGCCGCATCCTCTAATCCCAGCGCTCTGGGGGCAGAGGCAGGTGGGTCTCTCAGTTCCAGGACAGCCTGGTCTGCACAGAGAAACCCTTTTTTGGTTTTTCGAGACAGGGTTTCTCTGTGTAGCTTTGGAGCCTATCCTGGCACTCGCTCTGGAGACTAGGTTGGCCTCGAACTCACAGAGATCCGCCTGCCTCTGCCTCCCGAGTGCTGGGATTAAAGGCGTGCGCCACCAATGCCCGGCCTGAAATGGCTGCGTTCAAGCCACTAAATTGAGCTTTCTGAAACTGGAAGCCAAAAGAACCTTTTTCTCTTTTAAGTTATTCGTGCCAGGTGTTTTGTCACATTTGGTTTCCTTTTCCTTTTCCAAGAGGCCCAAAAGACTGGGGGAGTACCGCCTTGGGGAGGGGACACAGCTCCAGAATCCCCAGGATATCTCACGCTCACGGAACTCTAGGTCGTCCCAGCAGAGTGTCCGGTTCCAGCAGGTAAAGAGTGCGCCGAGGTTAGCCCTGCTCTTACCTGGGGTAGCCTCACTCTTCAATCAGAACGGTGGCCTGGGACAGGCATGCTACGGGGAGAATGAGACTGACGGACTTTCTCCCCCCACTCCTCCCCTCCCCGCAGCCTTGAGCAATCCTTCCACAGCTAGGACCCCCGCGGGACACCTCCGGCTCGCCTTAGAATGCCTTGCTCCGGCTCGCCTTGCTCGGGCTCGTGCGCCCCCTCGTGGTTCCCCTGGGAAAAGGTACCGTGCTCCTCTACCCTGCTCTCTCACACCCTAAGAATGCTCAAATGAGCCCTGGTGGCGCGGACCTTTAGTCCCAGCACTCAGGAGGCCTCTCTTGGGAGTGATTAGTTATCCTGGGATGGGCCCTATGTCTTTATATTTTTTGTTTTAATTTTAATTTCTTTTTCCAGGGCTAGGAATAGAATCCAGGACCTCACACATGCTAAGTAAATGGCTTACTGCCCATCTAATATTCTTAGCCCTTGAAAGAATTATTATGTTTGGAGAGATAGGTCAGTTGGTAAAGTGCTTTGCAGATAAGGACCTGAGTTTGCATCCCACATCAAAAGCCCCTTGTAATCCCAGCACCAGGGAGGCAGAGACAAAAGGCCCCTGGGACTTGCTGGCTAGCCAATCAGCTAGCTCCAGATTTAATGACAGATCTTGTCTTATAAAATAAGGTAGAGCAGGGCAGTGGTGGTACACGCCTTTAATCCCAGCACTCGGGAGGCAGAGGCAGGTGGATCTCTGTGCGTTCAAGACCAGCCTGGTCTACAAGAGCTAGTTCCAGGACAGCCTCCAAAACTACACAGAGAAACAGACACAGAGAGACACTGTCTCGAAAAACCTAATAATAATAATAATAATAATAATAATAATAATAATAATAATAATAATAATAATAAATTAAGGAAGAAGCCTAATGTCAACCTCTGCCCTCCACACACTAACCTCTGCCTCCTGGGAGCTTCACTACACCAGCCCTGCTTTTTACAATATATGTATAGGACTGGAGAGATGGCTCAGCCATTAAAGGATAGGCTCACAATAAAAAAAATGTTCATATAGTCAGGGCTGGGAACGTAGCTGAGTTGATAGAGTATTTGCTCAGCATGCACAAAGATCTAGGTTCAACCCCCCACCCCATACCATATAAACCAGGCATGGATACAGGACTCCAAAGGTGAAAGTCGGACCATCAGAATTTCAGGGTCATCCTCCATTTTATAAATTCAAGTAAGTTTAAGGCCAGCCTGGAAACAGGAGACCCTGCCTCAACACAACCATTTCTACATTGCCATCATAATCTTGTTTTTAATAAACCATGCTATTTTCTTAATTTCATCAAATATGCAATGTTTAAACATCAAATCGCCTTATGAATGATTTGGTTTATTTATTCATCCATTTATTTATTTAGAGACTTGTATTCCTGGTTGGCTTCTCACTCCATTTGGAGCTGAGGCTGACCTTGAACTTCTGATCCTCCTACCTCTACTTCCCCAGTGCTGGGATCACAGGCATTTGATACCACACTGGCTTGGATAGGCTGGGGCTAGAAACCAGCGCCCCAAGCACACTTATCAAGGACTCTGCCCCCTGAGCTGCATCCCCGCCTTCTTTTTAAAATTCCTTTCATCTTATTTGTTTACAGATAGTCTCACTCTGTAGCTCAAACTGTCCTTGAACTTGAGTCAACTCTCTGCCTGCGCCTCCATGTGCTGGAATTACAGGCAAGAGTCACAAATGGTAAATGTCTTTTTTAGGCAGGTAGGGAGGCAGGCAGGACAGAGTACCTGCAGGCTAGACCAAGAAGATGGAGGCCAGCAGCCACCTGGGAAGGCGCAGTCTCCCAGTAGAATACCAGCCTGGAAGTAGTGGCAAAGCCCCTGAAAGTGTGCATCGTGGGCTCCGGGAACTGGGGATCGGTTATTTCAAAGATCATTGGGAGCAACCTGAAGAACACGAAGAAGTTCGAGCCCACGGTCGAGCCCACGGTCAAGATGTGGGTATTTGAAGAAATAGTCCACGGGAGGAAGCTGACAGATACCATTAATAGTGACCATGAAAATGCGAAGTTCTTGCCTGGGCACAGGCTGCCAGAGAATGTGGTGGCCACTCGAGTCTCAGCCAGGCTGTGCAGGATGCAGATCAGCTGGTATTTGCTTCCCCACACCTGTTCTTTAGAACCATCTCTGATGGGATTGCCGACATAGTTCCCAAAAAGGCCCTGGGCCTCAGCCTCATCAAGGGCATGGGTGAGGGCCCAGGGGGCCTGAAGCTGGTCTCTGACGTCATCTGAGAAGGTGCACGTAGACGTCAGCGTGTTGATGGCGGCAAACATAGCCAGCGAGGTGGCTGACGAGCAGTTCTGCGAGGCCGCCATCGGCAGCAAGGTGCCGCAGAATGGCCTTCTCTTCAAAGAGCTGCTGCAGACCCCCAAATTCCAAGTCACTGTGGTAGAAGACTCAGACACCGTGGAGCTATGTAAGGCTCTAAAGAACATAGTTGCCTTGGCGGTCGGCTTCTGCCACAGCTTCTGTCACGGAGACAGCACCAAGGCTGCTGTCATCCTCCTGGGCTTCATAGAAATGATTGCTTTTGCCAGGACTTTCTGCAAGGGCCGGGTGTCTATGGCCACTTTCCTGGAGAGCTGTGGGGCAGCTGATGTTGTCAGTACCTGCTATGGGGGCCGGGAAAGACTACTGAGGAACTGGAGAAGGAGATGCTGAAAGGACAGAAACTACAAGGACCAAATACTTCTGCCCAGGAGTCCCGCATCCTTAAGCGAAAGGGGCTGCTGGACAAGTTTCCACTGTTGGCAGCTGTGTATCAGACCTCCCGCGAGGGCAGACCAGTTGCCGAGATGATCTCGTGTCTGCAGAACCACCCGGAGCACAGGGAGCAGGGCCCTGGCCAGCTCTACCTTGCCCATCTCAGGATCAGATGGAAACCAGGACATGACAGTGAGATGTTTGCCTGGCTTTCTCCCATCTTGATGCACATGAATTATTATGGCTTCATTTCTGGGTCACGAGACACAGCTCCTTGGCTGATGTACTGGTAACAACTACACACACACAATGAATGTGAAAAAACAAAGCAAAAAAAAAATACAGCTTGGTAGATTGAATCAGGATTCCAATAAGGTTCAGAGTTGTTTACCTTGTGCATGTGTGTGCATGCTCGTCTGTGTGAGTGAGGAAACATATTGGTTGGCCTTGTGGGTGGAATGTGTATTTACATACATGTATAAGTGTGTGTGTGTGTGTGTGTGTGTGTGTGTGTGTGTGAACAAGTGCATGATGTGTGTGCATGTGTGTGAAGAAATTGGGTCATCTGGACACATTAATTTTATGGCTTCATTTCTGGGTCATGAGAGACAGCTCCTTGGCTGATGTCCTGGGTAGCAGCCACACACACACAATGCATGTGAAAAATGTTCCCAGTGCTTTACTGGCCTCCCCACTCTGATATCCTCCTCCCTGGGGAAAGACATCTTCCCTGGATGACTCTTGTGTGATGTCAGCAGCAGTGGAAAATCAGCAGTGGAGTCATTCCTTCAGTATTTGATTTTGTTGGGTGGTTGTATTGGTCCATTGTTGTCAACTCGACACAAACTAGAGTCACCTAGGAGGAGGGAACCTCGGCTGAGGAACTGCCTCCATTGGACTGGCCTCTGGGCAAGTCTGTGGGGCATTTTCTTGACTTATGATTGATGTGGGAGGGCCAAGCTCACTATTGATGGCTCCATCCAGGGCAGGCAGTTCTGATTTATATTTGAAAGTAAGCTGAGGAAGCTGTAAGGACCATGCCAGTAAGCAGTGTTCTTCCATGGTTCCTGCCCTGACTTCCCACGGTGAGGGGACTGTAATCAGGACACACAAGCCAAGAAATCTCTCATCTGCCATTTGGTTCTGGTCAGTATTTTATCTCAGCAACAGAAAACAAACAAGGACAGAAATTGGTACCAGACAGACTATTGCTGTGACAGACCTGACTACATCCTTTTGGGGGGAATGGTGGAGGCATTTGGAACTTTGGGCTGGAAAAGCCATTGAGTGCTCAGGGCTTAGAAAGCAATGATGAAGACAATAGAGGCCTGGCCTGTGACAGTTCAGAGGGAAGCAGAGATTCCATCTGGCTTATGTGTAATATTCTGAATTAAGAATCTGTGGTTCCGCCTGGCGTCGGTGGCGCACACCTTTAATCCCAGCACTCGGGAGGCAGAGGCAGGCAGGTCTCTGTGAGTTCAAGGCCAGCCTGGTCTACAGAGCAAGTGCCAGGATAGGCTCCACAGCTACACAGGAATCCCTGTCTCGAAAAACCAAAAAGAAAAAAAAAAAAAGAATCTGTGGTTCCGGTCAGCTTGTCCTGGAGTCAACTGTGATTGAGAAGAGAGGAGCCCACTGGAGAGAAACTTTTGCTCTACTGGGACCAACAATGCTGGCTAGCTGGGGCTGAGAAATGGAACAAGAAAGGACGAATATCACTGGGTAGAATCTTCTGAAAAATGCTTCTCCGGGCTCAGCATGCAGCTGCTGTGGTCCAGAAGGGGCCAAGGCTGCATCTCTAGCTGGTAGCTATAGAAAGCAAACTAGAACAGTGGTCCCAAAACTTTGATTGTCTTCCCAGCTCTTCTTTTATTGATAGGAGAGGAGGAGGAGGCAGGGCGCTTGGCGTTCTCCATCCTATTACTCCACACTATGCCATGGTTAAGTGCAGTCAGGTTATTTCCTAGTTGTTCTCTCCTACCCTAGCATGCCAGACTCGCCGGGCCATGCAGCACGGTGTGGACAGAGGAGGGGTGGACTGGTGTGGCAATAGACTGCACCACTCTGCAGCTGTCCTTGCAGTAACTTTCTCAGGTGATGAGATAGCTCCCGCTCCAGTGAAACTTCCCTGGTATCCATCAACTCACGGTGGCCAGACTGAGCTAAGGGGGGGCAAACTGTCTTGATGAGGAGCAAGGGATGAAGGTATGTTGGGTGAGTGTTTGGGTTTCTCAGTCTGGCAGACTTGGGCTTCAATATCAACTTCACCATTCACCACTGAGTCATCTTCACTCTGAGCAGTCAGTCACTCACCACTCCAGAATCTGCTTCTCGTGCCTCCCAATACATCAGGTCCTAACGGCATGGGCCTTGCCTAGGCTTGGAAAGGGTGTTTGCAGGCAAGATTAAGTTAAGGATAGTGGCACAGGGAGACTACTCTGGATCACACAGGTGGGCTCTACATGTCACAAAGAATGTCCTTGAACACACACACACACACACACACACACACACACACACCACCATGTTGGGGAATAGGTGCTGATTTTATTGAATAAGTAACAGATATTTACAGATGAAGCAGTGGGTAGTCTGGGCTTTTAGAGATGAACAGGCACCTAGACTGAGGTCTAGGGAAACTGGGTTAGCCTTTTTACTCTACTACTCTGTCTGCGTGTGTGTGTGTGTGCGTGCGTGCGTGTGTGTGTGTGTGTGTGTGTGTGAATTTTTCCATTGAAAGCAATACCTCTCCATTCCAGGGGTTTGTCTAGGACAGCGGCAGCCCGCTGCGGGGCTTTGGCGCCACCTGGTGTCCACCTCGGGAATGACTCCCTAGGGAGTTGAGACCAGCTTGTGCTTGGGTCTTGCACCAGCCAAGAAGGGATGCCCATATGGCATGTGACAGTGGCAATTTTGGGTGTCTGGGAAGGACCTGCATGCGAACACAGTACAGAGTGCTAGCTGGACATCGTTACATAGAGTCTGGGCAGTGAAAGATGCATCTAGCATGGCTTCCTGAAGGAGGGGAATCCAGCTAGCTTGCCGAGTATGGGCCCACGGACAGCAGGGCTGCACAGCTTGGAGCTTGTAATGACCCCAAGCTGAGTGAGTACTCACCATACTCTGAGTCAGGAGACCTTGCTGACCAAATAGGGTTCCACCACAGGAGGGTGGGGCCTATCACTGGGCTGGTTCCGATCCTTCTATAACAGCCAGTTTCCTTATCTAGGCTTGTACAAAGAAAACAATGTCCCGTCCCTCTGCTCAACTTGAGTGAGTGTAACACCACAGTCAAGGGCCTCAGGCACCAGGTACAGCTGATAAGCAGGCAAAGGCCTGTCTCATGCCTGCTTCCTCAAGAGCTAAGGGGTTGAGGACCCTGCCTAGGGGCTCTCTGAGACTCTCCCTGCTGTCCTTGATACAAATTAAATCTTGGCATCAGAAGAGACCTCAGAGCCACTAACCAAGCAGAGCCAGTGAAGAGATGGGATTGACCCATGGTCCATAGGACAAGTGGTTTTCAGAGCAAAGTCATGAGACGCTTCCATCTGAAGGTCACCTGCTAAGTCCTGGGACCATTGCAGGGTGCCAACCCATTGTAGAAAGAGAGGTGAGGTGTGTGTGTGTGTGGTGCCGTTTGCCGAGTGGGACTTGACAACTGTGGATAGATGTGTTTTAAGCTTGCATCGAAGGGGCTAATTTTAAGATGATCACTAATTCTCCAGGTCAGGTTGTCAGCTCTAGTCCCTCCCACGACTATAGGAAAGTCCCAGAGCCAAATTTGGTTCATCTGCCTGGGTTTCCACTTGCCATAACAATTGCTGGTAAGTGGGGCCAGCAGTAAAATGCTCTTGGAGGCTGGGTCAGCTCCTGAAGGCTGCTGTGTCTGTCTTGTACACCCCCTTCTGTGGCCAGGTGCTTTTTTTTTTTTTTTTCTCGAAACAGGGTTTCTCTGTGGCTTTGTAGGCTGTCCTGGAACTAGCTCTTGTAGACCAGGCTGGCCTAGAACTCACAGAGATCCGCCTGCCTCTGCCTCCCAAGTGCTGGGATTAAAGGCATGCCAAAGGCCCGGCTGCCAGGTGCTTTTTTTTTTTTTTTTTTTGTATACAACATTCTGCTTCCATGTATATCTGCACACCAGAAGAGGTCACCAGATCTCATAACAGATGGTTATGAGCCACCATATGGTTGCTGGGAATTGAACTCAGGACCTCTGGAAGAGCAGTCAGTGCTCTTAACCTCTGAGCCGTCTCTCCAGCCCCGCCAGGTGCTTTTTAAAAAGGTGTGTGTGTGTGTGTGTGTGTGTGTGTGTGTACATATGTGCACGTACAGGTGAGCATGCATGTATAGTGTCCATAGCTCGTTATCGAGTGTCTTCCTGGGTCACTCGTCACCTTGTTTTTAACTCTTAAAATATTTTTAATTATCTGTCCATGTATGACTGTGTGCATGTGGGTACAGGTGTCTGTGGAGGCCAGAGGAGTGAGATACTCTCCGGAGCTGGAGTTATGGGCAATTGTGAGCCACCCAGTATAGGTGGGAACAGAACTTGGGTCCTCTGCCAGAACAGTATACACTCTTAACCTCTAACCCCTTTCACCTGGAACTGGTTAATTCACCCAGACTAGCTGCCCAGCAAGCCCAGCAATCCTCCTGTCTCAGCCTTCCTGGTGCTGGGATCACAGGTGCACACTGCCAGGCCAGGCTCTTTTTTTTTTTTTTTTAATATTTTTTACATGGCTGCTAGAGTCCTATACTGACCATGGTCAGTGTAGAAATGGCATCTGTTGGGTTAGAGCCCAAAATTGCCACACCATGGGCTGGGGCACACTGTGTTAGCTTGCTTTCCATTACTGAGATAAACACCATGACCAAAAGCAATCTGGGAGAGGAAAGTGTTTATTTGGCTTACAGTTCCTGATCATAGGTGATTACTGAAGTAAGTCAGGACAGGAACTCAAGGCAGGAACCTGAAGGCTGGTCCTGAAGCAGCAGCCATGAGGGATTGCTGCTTTTCTGGCTTGCTCCTTGTGGCTTGCTCAACCTGCTTTCTTATAGCCCCCAAGACCTGCTAAGGGGTGGCACCACCCATAGTGAGCTGGGCCCTCACATATCAATCATTAATCAAGAAAATGTCCTACAGGCTTGCCTACAGGCCAATCTGATGGAGGCATTTTCTCTATGGAGGTTCCTTCTTCCCAGATGACCCCGCGCATCAAGTTGACAAGACAACAACCCAGCATAGTGCCCCTGCCCATCCTTGGCCCAGTGGTGCTTCTCCGAACACCACTTT